CAAAACTGGAAAAGGTGATGATAATAATCCAGTGTTACGTGCACTTCAAAATGCCCTTATATAAATCATATAGATACTAGATTAAACGAAGAATTACACAGGAAACTTACTTAAAACAATAAAATATCGAATAACGACGATCGATTTGGTGAATTTTCACATATACAGTCCTTTAATGTCTCGATATATTCTGTTGAATTCGATGCATAAACTATTTCTCCACAAAATGCAATCATAAATTTCTTAACTTCTTCATTAACCATTTCATCTTGTTTCAATATTTCTTCTAATAAAAGTTTAGTACTAACAGTATTTGTTCTTAATAACCCGATTGTATAAGTTATCAATTTTTCACGAACTTCCGGTAAATTCTCAGATTTTTGAGATTGTAATGCTAAAGCCATTGATTGAATATTCTTTGACAAATCAGTTGGTGTGCGCATTTCAAATTCAATATCATTTTGCTTTAACGAATTTAACATTTCTATTTGATTCATTAATGGAAGTGGTACAGACTCAATCAACAAAATATGAAAATTATTTAACTTTTTTAATAATGATCGATTCTTATCTTCAAGTTCAGTTAACGTTGATTTCAACTGACGAATCTTAAACAGAAATAAAAAATTTCGAGATAATGTTGTGTTTTTAAAAGAATTCTTAGTGCAATTTTTTTAGAGAAATAATACAGAAGAGTGAGTATGTGCAGACTGATTTCCCTTTAAAAGTAGAATACTATATATTCTTAAGATTCAATTTTTTTCAACTGTTACATTTTTAAATACGTAAAGTTGTTCTCTTCTTCAGTATGAAGTGAACAGTTCAGAATCTTCGTTGTCCAATTACAAATGAAGGAAAAAAGAGAAAAACGGAAAAAATATTCATTAAATTAAGCAAGAATTTCTCTTTGATCATAGAACGAAAATTTTTGGACTGGACTAGACTAGACACGATACAGTTTTATCATACAACAAATTTATCTCTACAAGACAAGAATAACTTTAGACTCATTGTGCATCACATCCTCCCTTGACTATTTGGTTAGTGGTAAATACATATGAAATCAGTGCAGAGATGGGCGACTCGTGTTGCATTTTTCTATGACTCGGACTCGAACTCGACTCGAAGTGAAAGACTCGATAAACTTGATAAACTGACTCGAATCCCTTTCCAGTCAGTCATGTGCAACTTGAGATTACTATGAAGGTGTAAATTATATTTGTTATATATCAGAAAACAGATTGGAGAATATTCTAAGTAGAGCGGCAAGCTGTTCTTGGAAAAATGAATCATGAGCACGTTTTCCTTTAGAAAATCCCTCGAAGTAAATAGAATCAACTTTCCATGCGACTCGGATCTGGACTCGAAGGCTCCCGACTCGGACTCGAAAAAGTAGTGAATCGCCCATCTCTGAACCAGTATTTCCAATGATAAGTGTACCAAATGGAGAAAAAGTGCACAGTACACTTAGAATTTTGAAAAATGCACACTATTTTGCACTTTTTTTTGAGAAAAAGAAAGTCAATTATGAGCACTTTTCCAATTGAAGTTCTCGGATAATCATTCAGGTTTAGTGTCTGTTTGCCGAAAGTTTTCACCGTCTTCCGGGCTACGGAAACTTTCTTCTAAATGTAAAGTTGTAAAGATCATTTTTCGAAAATATTTCTACTGGTTTTTAAAGTAAAGCCAGATTTATCAATATATACCCATGTTGTCGAAACCGGGGGTTAATCACGGTTATTTCAGCTGAAACCATAGCACCTTGGTTTGTTGTTGGTTGGTTAACCCCGGTTTGCCCCGACAACATGGACAGCTGGCTTTTTTTGTGCTTAAGAACAAGTTTTAGAGATAAAATTTCTACAAAAAACAGATGAAACTGAGCGTTAGCGACTGACACTTTTAAAGGATTCGTCGCCTTCGGAGGTGATAGCTTTAGATTTTTATTTAAGGGCAGGTACACGTTCGGCGATCAGTGCATAACTTAAAGGGACAAAATTCTGTTCTCACTGCGTCCTCATTTGTCTCCTTTCTTCGTTGTGTATGGATATCAAATTGGATAATTTATCCAAATCATTTAATCTTATAAATAAATTTGCGTTGTATTCAGGTGCTGACTAGTTTTATCGTATTTGTTGTCCTAGATCGGCGAAAGGTACTTTGTAATTTAAATACTAGTGAGTGAAACTTATTTCTGAAAGGTGGCAAGTGAAACGATCGGTTCGATGGCCATAGAACATTAGGTAAAGGCCAGAAACAGTTCGATAATATGATTTCCGGACACCGTTTTATAATATTAAAATTGACTCACAAACATCTTCACTGTTGTATAAAACGGGTTTATTTTCAACTATGACTAATGATCAAGATGAGAATGAACATTCGTTAGAAATGCATTTACCATATATCGCAA